GAGCAGCCTGGTCGAGTGGAAGGTGTCCCTGCCCATGGCAGGGGGTGGAAAGAGATGGGCTTTAATGCCTCTTCCAACCCAAAACATTCTAGGATTCCTGTGAAATTCTTTCTAAATGGCTTTTCTTGGGACTCCATTTTTGCAAATGCCTGAAAGAGTCATGTTCTAGTGAAGAATACTTCATTAAAAGCTCTTCAGATACCAAGACCTGAAAACTGATTAAGTGCAAGTTACAGTAAGAATTTTCTAAGAGGGGAAAAAATTTCTCTCACAACTTGACCAGAGCCCCACATCTTTCCCATTAGTGTTTCATAAGGAGGACATCCCACTCACTCTGGAATGTTATTTTTCCTAGTAAAAGTTAAGCAGTGAAGTTGCTTATTAAAAAAATATTACAATAAAAAATATATCTATAAAAAAATTGCAACAATTTATGCCCTTCTATGGAGAAAAAAAAACCCTCATCTGTCATTTCTCATGACAAAAAATGCCAATATTGAATCTTAACATTTCAGAGTCAATATTCCTGCTCATCTTTGGAGGAGATGGAGAAAAAACATCTATGTTATTTGCTACAGGGCCTTGTTTGGAGATGCAAGCCAGTTCTCCTAATTTCGTCCACATTGTTAAAATCAACTTGCTGTGAAGTCAGAAGACTTGTGACTGACTAGAGTGGGAGCTGTATGGAACTCTGAAGAGATAAACTGAGTGGGAAATGGCTTTTAAAGAGAGATCTCTTGCCCCCAAGGCGAGAAAACCCTAAGAAACTACAGAAACACATTGTTCTTGTTCAGCTTTTTGCTAAGGCCAAAAGATTTAAAACAAACACATTTCTAAAACACAAAGACTTACATTCCTCCCCCAGACAGTCACAATAATTTCTGCTATCACTGCAGAGTATTTCCAGCTTCAGCTAATAGCACAGAAGAAATGAAAACTTGCATTTTGCAGCTTGTCTGGAAATTAAATCCCTGATGCTCCATCTGAATCAGTTATTCACAGGAAAAAATGGCTAAGATCTCTCAAACATCCTCTTGGCTCTTGCAATGTATTGAAATATCTTCAGAAAAATGGAAAGACTTTTAAGTTCATGAGAATAAAAAAGGGAGGGTTTCCACCAACACAGGGACAATAAAATTTCCAAGTAAATATTAAGGGTTCTCTGAAAACAGAAGTGAAAGGCATGCAAATTTGACAGCAGAAATATTTCCCATGTCTCAGGAAAAACAAATGTTCAACACACTAACTCTGGACAAGACAAGCTGTGAAGCTGCTCTCCAAAGAAGTCCAGAAATGGTGAATATTCATTCTGCTAACATGAATCTCACAAAGCATAATAGAAATTCTCACAGGACTCTGCCTTCCTATCTGCACAGGAACAGGAAGAATCTGAGCAAATGACATTTCCCTCTGCTAGGGAACCAAGCCTAGGTCTTGTTTCTAAAAATTAACTGCATCCCCACAGCCACACTATAATCTCCTGATTTGCTGTTCAGTCTTTTTCTACTCTACAGCATGTTTTCATTTCTCATTTGAACCCAGATCTCCCTCTGCTTCCTCAAGCTGCGCATGGTTTTGTTTTAAATCAACATCTCTTCTTGTGGTGGGATAGCCTAGGCTGAAGGACAGATGAGGACCCAAAGATCTGCCTGCCCTTAAGATCTTGCACAGGGGAAAAAAAGAGGAAGTCAGGTCCCCATTGCAAACTCATCTCCAGACAAATACCTGAGTACCTGTTCTTCACTGAGCTAAACATAAGTGCTCCAAAAAAGGGCTGTTTGAGGAAACAGACAGGATTTTGAACAGGACAGATTAAATTCTCTCCTTTCCTAGGAGCACACAGACCCTCTTGCTTTGCCTTTTCAGGTTTACAAGCTGCATCATGACTTTCCTCCTTCAGCAGCATCCAGCTGGAATCTATTAACTCTTTACCACCATTAAATTTCTTCTTCTAAGATTCTAATCTTGCTATCTTGGCTTTTTTACATGATCACTCAGCATGTTCACAGGAAAGGAGGAGTCCAAGAAAGAAGAGCAATACTCCTTGACAGCTTGTCTACAGAGATATTTAGCAAGAGAGACTGCTAACAAGTGTCTCAGTCCACACAAAAATCACTGCTCGTGGGACAAAGAGCCACCACAAAACCTTCTCCTGCTTGTATATTAAACAGACCAAAAGCAGAGTCTTAACTATAAAACTGCTGACTGCAACAATCAAAAAACTTTTAATCATTACCAGGAAGGGAAAATTGTGTAGGGAATGTACATTCTCACTTCCACAAGCACATGCATAAACATCTGTTGAAACTATACTTGGAAACATCCAATATAAGCGAGTACTTGAGGAAATCAGATCTTATGATTTCCTCTTATGATCTTATGAACAATAATTTTAGAGATACAAGGGTGTGTTCCATTATCACCCAAAGATACTTTTCTTGATACTGGAACAACACTCAATTATATTAAACCTCTAGCTTGCTTTCACTGATTAGATCTGGTTGTTCCTTTGGCATTTGGCAAAGCCAAACAAGCATTCACTGAGCTCTTCAGATAAATACTCAAATCCCATAGTCTGGAGTTTTGTTTTAAAAGTCAACATACTCATTAATCACTAAACTACACCAAACTTAGCAAGGCTGCAGATCTCACATCTTCAAGTTACCTTCAAGTTACCTCAAGAAGCCTTCCAAGAGAAATAGAGCTGTTCCCTAAGCTTCCTTTCCTTTATTCTGTTGCTTGCCAGGAAGAACATACAGCAGCAATCTCTGTGATGTTCAGATCTCTGCCCCATCATGAGGATCTACAGTTCATCAACTTCAGAGAAACTAAACTTAGTCTACTTCTCCTCCCCGCAACCTTCACCACTTGTTGTTTTGAAAAGGAAAGAGGTGGTTATAAATAAACTTTACAAGAGCAATTCTTTAACCTTTCCTCACATTTTGCAGTCACAGGCATCACCTCTCCAATATGACAATTTGAAGGATACCATTTAGTGAAACACAACAAGGTTTCCTTGTCAGTCAAGAAAAATTTCAGCTTCTTTAGTCCTTTGCAAAAAGTTCTGAAGATCATTCATCTTTCAGATTCACAAATTGAGACTCAAGTTTGAATTTATATATTGAGCATATATTGACAGGACAAGGGAGAACGACTTTTAAGTAAAAGAGTACACTAATGCTGGGTATCAGGAAGAAATTCTACCCTGTGAGGATGATAGGGCCACAACACATGTTGACTAGAAAATTTGTGTCTGCCCTGTTCCTGGAAGTGTTCAAGACCAGGATGGAACCAACATTATCTAGTGGAAGGTAATCCAGCTAATGGCTGGTAGTGGAAGCAGATTGTACTTAACATCCCATCAAACACAAACTATTTCTTGATTCTATGATGATTCAATCTCCACAGGTCCAGGTAGATGTCAAACCTGTTCTTCGCAGCCTTCTCCCTTCCCTGCCCCTCTGCCAAGTGCAACAGGCCTCAGGACTCAAAGGACCAGAGAGAGCCAAAGGGGGATGTCGCTAGAGGACACAAAATAGAAGCATGGATTCGATCACAACAGCAGAGGTTTCACCCTAAGGAGGCAGAAAGCCTTTATTTCAGGGTTTTCAGCTCCTTTTCTAAGGTGTTCCGGTACAGGTTAACCTGATTGGTAAAAGGAACAACATCTCTCTTGTTCTATTGATGGAACAAGAGAAAAACACATCTAGAACATCTGTACAACATTGTTTTGAAAACCAAAACCTATTTATAAAAAACAGTCCTTTAGAAAGAAAAGTTTTCCAAAAGACTTTCCCTTGGGAAACAGATCAGCCACTGACAGGCTGAAAACTCACTCAGGCTCAGAAAATCATGTCCATAGGAGGAGACTTGCACCTACCTCACTGTGAGCTCCTTGGGAAGCACTTTCCTTGAGAAGCAAATCCCTTTCCTCCAAAAGCATTTCCCCAAATGTGTACTTTTTCTGGGGAACACCAATATACTCTTAAGAAACCCTGTTAAGGCTGAATTACTTCTGGTCCTTTCAGAACAGGCACTCCAGTTCTAGCTTGTATCCCCCCAAGTGTGCTTCCAGGTGGAGGTTCAGATGTGCAGCCCCAGGCTCTCTACCAACACAAGTTGCCTGCTGCCTCTTCACCTGCCTCAACTCCTGCCTGTGGTCACAGCAGCAAAACCAGGCTGCTCCTGGCTGGAGACCAGAGTCCTGATCCCGCAGGACACTCTTGCCAGCCAGCACCTTCCAGAACTTTCCACCGTGTGCACAGTACTTTTCATGCCTGCTCTCAACTGGCTTTGGAAGACAGAGCCCAACCTGGCTGGCTCTGCCATCAGCACACTCCAAACACAGGTGGAAGAAGAAGAAGCAGGGACACTTTTGCAGCCATGCCCAAGAGAGACTGGAAAGGTGCCCTTCCTCTGGTCTCACTTGGCTGGCTTTCTGGCTGGCTCGGAGGCAGGGGCTGCGATTCCTCAGCTGCGGGGCCCAGAACCAAACCCGGGATCCCGGCACTGCCTGACAGTGCTCTGGACAGAGGCACAGTGACACATGTGGGTCTCAGCCACTGTGCTGTTGCTTCATTTGCTCTTAGGCACACCCAAAGCTCCCTGTTAAGCCCAGATGGTCTCTGGTTCTGCCCTCTTCCTGATCCTGTGCAGGGATGGAGCATTGCTGTGCTTTCAGGAAGCTGTTCTAGAAAGCCTCAGGCATTCCAAGCTCCTTTGCCCTCTGTGCATGCTTGCCACAGAATCCCTCACAGCCGGGTTCTGGGCATACCCAAAAGAGTTCTTTGGCTCTTCCAAAATCCAAGGCCTTCAGGTTGCTAAGCAAGACCTTTAACTCCACAATGCTGTGGAACGGGGCCTTCAGCACAGGGACCTTTCCAGCCTGATCTGCACTCGTTCTTCTGCGTCTCTGCACAAAACACGGTGCAGGAGAGAACGGCAGGAGGGGCCTGTGTGTCACAGCGCTCTGGATTTGTGACCCTTCAGCTCCACAGAGATGCAGGTAGGGGGAGAAACCAAAAGGTTTATTAATGGAAGGGAAAGTGAAGGGATGAGATGGGGAAAAAAAAAAGGGGATGGGTAGGATCTGAGGGCTGGAGGGAGGGAGCTGTCAAAAGGGAGGGAGGAGGCAGGAGCTATGGGAGCTTCCCACAGGCTCAGCTGTGCTCAGCATCAGCCGTGCCTGGAGGTCCAGTGACACTGAGTCGTGGTGTTCTCTTCACTGCCTCTGGGTACTGTTCTTCAGACAGTTCTCTGATTCCAGTAGATGACTTTAGCTCTGCAGATCTTTGTCCAAAAATGGCTTGAATTTCCAGGTTAGTGGAGGATGGGCTGTCATCTTTGCTCATGGCTTCAAGGGCTGCAAGAGAGATGAACTACTACAGTCAGTACGCAGACCTGCGAGGACACCCGGTGATTGTTCTGCTAAGGACACCCCTCCCAGCTCTCGCCATAACCACAACAGAGGAGAGGCCAACGGCATCAGCCGAAAGGCACAGCCTTTCATCAGCTGGGCACAAATCCCCCCGCCCACGTCTCTGAAATCGCTCTGTGCTCTGCCCACACCACCCCTCGTCCACACAGAGAGCGAAACCATCCGCAGCTGGGACAGGGATTGCAGTTCCCCCCACCAGCCCCCTCTGACATCCCACTGCCCTCACTCACCCTCACTGAGAACGTGAAGCTCTCCTGGCTGCCCCTTCAGGTACCGCCCGGCCATCCCTGGGAACACAGAGCCTGTCAGGGCCCTGGCAGCACAGCTCCCTGCCAGCGGCGCTGCCAGCCCTGGGGCCACACGGCCTCCCGCCCCGGCAGGGCTCAGCCCCAGCCCTTGCCGCATCCTGACTCAGCCCAAGGGCACGGCTGCCAGAGGCCGGCAGCAGCCCCGAGGGCAGCCGGGGCTCCAGGGCGCCGGGCCCGGGTGCCGCTGCCGGGACAGCAGCAGCCGGGGCCGGGGCCGAGCTGCGGCGGGGCGGGGAGCCAGCCCAGGCTCGTGGCTCACCGATGAAGCTGACGGCCGCCTCTCGCAGGGACTCCTGTGGGCTGTCCAGGTATGGCAGAGCCCGGCTCAGGTGCTCGGCCGCTCGGCTCTCGTCCTGTTCCAGCTGCAGAGAGCGGCAGGAGGGAAGGGTCGGTGCGGGCTCTGCCTCTCGGCCGGGTGCTGCCTGCGGCCAGCCCCGGCCTCCCGTGCCCGCCCAGCCCTGAGGCACCGGGCAGCAGCCCCACTGGGCTGGGGCTCCATCGGCACCCGGCTCAGGGCCACAGGAGCCTGAAGAGGAACCCGTGTGTCCCAGGGAAGGGAGCAGCGTGTGAGGCACAGGCTGGCTCCCATGGGTGCAGCACTGGGCCACAGCTGCCAGCCCCACACACTGAGCCCCGGGGACAGGGAGCTTCTCCAGGCTGAGGCTGGGGTTTCCAGGCCGTCCTTTACCACACATTCGGTGATCTTCGACAGATCCTCTGTTGGCAGCACACACAGGAGCTCTGTGTTCTTTAAGAAGGTGGCAGCACAGTGCAGCGTTTCCCGGGAGGCCTGGAGAGATGCAGAGATGCCATTGCTGCCCAGGGCACAGGAGTTGCATCCCTGTGCCAAGGCCAGGAGGAGGCCGCAGCCTGGGAGGCAGCAGGGCAGGAGGCAGCCCAGCCGCCTCCCAGTGGTCCACCAGCATCACACAAAAGCTCACATCAGCCACGCGCTGGTTGTCGTCGTGGCAGTGCAAAATGAGCGGGAGCAGGCTCTGCTTCACAATTCCCTCCATTGCATTTTTTCCCTCTTCCAGTACCAGGTTCATCGTATTGCGGAAGAGGTGAATGGAGAGCACCTGCACGTGGCTTTTGTCCTGGAGGAAGGAAGGAGGAAAAGATCTCAGCGCCAACTTCTCCAGCCCACCTGGGCAAAGGCCTGAAAATCCACAGGCCCAAAGTTTGTGTGGGCAGTAGCCAGTGCCCGTGGCCGGGGCACAGAGCCTTACATGGTCAAAGAGGAGCACAAGTGGCTCAGCAAGCTTGGGGGCAGCAGTCCTTGATAAATGAAGACTTTTTCTCTTCAGCACATTCGTGAGCACAGACAGAGACATGCCGACCACTTCTCCGTCTGCGTCACTCAGCAGCTGCAGGAAGCTTTGACACAGGCGGCGTATAGGTGTGGCCTGTGTGGAACACAAGGCTGTGCTGGGAAGCCCTGAACGGCTGCAGCGCCAAGACCGCCCTGGCACTGCAACCCCACCCTGCTGCTGCCGGGCCCAGAGGCCAAAGGCCTGTCCCAAAGCACTGAGGCAGGTGAGGCAGGAGAGCTGGGAGCAGCTGCCTCAGCTCCTGAAGCCCAGCCAGCCCAAGGGGCTGCTTTGCCCAGCACAGCTTCAGCTGCTGCCCCGTTCTCACCATCGAGGGTTCCTGGCTGAGCACCACGAGGCCTCTGAGCGCCAGGCGACGCCTCTGCCTGCACTCGCTCTG